CTTGTTATGCTGGTAATATTTATGCCCAATTCTATGCTTGGAGCTTTGTTCAACAAATCTTATCCATGTTCCTTAACAAAGCCCTTCAGATACTTCTGCAGATGGACCTCGGCATCCTCCCTAACTTAAATTTCTGCAGAGTAAAACATCACCACTTGCTTAAATTTATTCTGTCATCATCACAACATATCTTCCTACAGGCCCGAACCTTCCACATATCCCTCTAAGGCATGGGTCCCAGGCGTAGTAGAATCTACCATCCAAATGTGTTTGTCCCCCTGGAGGGGACAGATGTCAATCAGCACTCTTTTTCCTGCTGTCATAGCTTTTAGGATGGAGTCCATCCTATGGACTTTTATGATGGAGTCCATCCTAAACTTCTATGCCTGCTTTCATAGTTTAGTAAATATTCACTGGGTTCCCACCATGCACTGGGTACCCTGATTGACACTGGAGATATATTAGTGGACAAAACAAAATTTCTGCTTTAATCATCTCATTGGGGGTAGCAGATAATAATTAGACAAGTAGATAAGTTCTTTTTTTTTTTAAGAAGTGAGAAGTATAATGAAAAATGAAGCAAGCTAAAGAAACAGTGAAGGACAGCCGTATTTCATAAAGAATGGTAAGAAAAGAGTTCTTTGATGAGATGACAACTGGGCAGAAGATCAGAAGTAAGGGAACAAGCTCACTCTGAAGATATCTGGTGAAAGAAGCACAGGTGGAGTATTATGTCGAAGGTTTTTAGGTGAAAGCCTGGGTGGCAGACGATGGAACAGAAAGGTTTACAGTGTGGGTTTTGTGGAGTGAACAGTGGCAACAACAAAGGAGATGAGACCCAAGAGGTAAATGATGTAGTGAAAATCAAGAATTTTGTTTTGCACACAAGTTAGAGGTGACTGTTAAATATCCAGGAAGGGGTTTCAAGGAGGCAGTTGTCAGCATGGAGTTCTGGGTAAGGGAGAAATGTGGAGATGCATGTAAGCCACAGACTGTCTGGTTTCAGACTGTAGTTCTTATTGGATGGTTTTGGATCCTGATTCTGTGTGCACTGCATTTGCTGTCCTCATTTTAGGCAAAACAGATGTTGAAAAGGAAAGAACTCAGAGTTATCCAGTAAACTTGACACAGATCTACTTCCCAATTGTTGACATGATGCTGACTTTCCAGGTATTCTGTCTATGCTCATTCTTACCTCCCTTCCATCAATGAGGCTCCTCCTCTGATTTGAGTCCAATCTCTCCTCTTCTAGTCTGGAGCTGATTCTCTCCTGATTCATCAAAGCCCACTCCACGATTTAGTCTGTCACTTCCCTGTATTTTCACCCTTCTTGCATAATTGACAATTTCTATCACTGTGTGAGCAAGCTGTCATTCTTATGTCATTAAAATCTACTTCCTTCACCACGTTTCTCCTGACTTATACCTCTTTTCCACCTTGTGCAAATGTCTCAGAAAGCTAGCCAACAATGGCTTGTCCTAATAAACTTTGGAGCTATTCTTTCAAAGTCTCCTTGCTGCTGAAAACAGTGGGCATTTTTTTTTTTTTTTTGTCTCACTTGATATCTATAAACATTTGACCACAAAAACCATCCTCTCCTTGGAGACTTTGTCTCTAGTCCCTTTGTTAGATGTCATACTTCCTCGGCCCCTTAATACCATTTTCCTCTCTGGATTCTCTCTTTGAAGCCAGCCCTTAAGTGCTGTGGTTTTGCAGTCTTCTGCTTTTAGCTCTTTCCCTTTATACACCCTCTGGGGTGATCTCATCCCTCAATGGCTTTAGCAGCTGTAGAGTGTCAATGGCATTCACATTCCTACCTCAAAGCTTTTTCTTCAGTTCTAGACACAAGAATCCAACAGACACAAGGAATCCCACAAGCTGCCTGAGCCATGAACTAGACTTATTGCATGATCTTCTCATCTCCTTCCCCAAACTTTCTACTCCCGTGTTGATCATCTCAGTGAATGGCACCATCTCCCATCCATGACCCACACCTGGAATTCATCCTTGATTCCCCTTTCTGTCTCAGCACTCTTTCATCACTTATGCGTCCTAAGAAAACTCTTCTCTGATACCTACCTTTCATATCAATAATCACTTTCCACTCTCCGGCTCTCCTGCCTGAAGAACTACAGCAGTTGGCAATCTCCTCCTCTAATCTAGTTTCTATACTCCAGCCAGAGTGATTGTTCCCAGAGGGACCTGATGTCTATCTAATGCATTATTTCTTCTTCAGTGTAAAATTCACCCTCTTCAGCCTGTTTTGCACTATGTGATGCGCCTTCCATGGTCTTCCTTGCCTTCTCTCCTGCACCATCTCCCACCTGGCTTAGTTCATGCTTCATGGCTTCACACATGATGCTCCTCAGCACAGCGTGTCCTTCTTGGCACATTACCTGCATTCAGCATCCACCCACCCTCCAAAGGCCAGTTTGAATTATGCGTCCTGTGGGAGGCCTTCTAGAACCCTTCAAATTGAGTTCTAGAATTAGTGGGCTGCAGCTCGCTGCCTGCAGCAAGAAGGGGAAGCCCAGGGGTGGGGGTGTTTCTTTGTCCTTTGTCAGTTTCTCATTCCTGTTATCTGTGGCTTAGTCACTGCCAGGGTGTTTTCTGTTCTTCACTGGTGTTTAAAGATAATTACTTTTCTTAGGGAATTCTTTTTTATTGGGTTTTTAAGATCCAGTTTGATAATTTTTGTCATTTATTTTGTTTGCATAATATGTTTACATTTAATGTAATTGCTCTTGGAATTAGTTTTATCATCTTACTCCTTGGTTTCTATTTGTCCCAAGTCTTTGTATCTTAATTTCACATTTAGTGTCTTCTTTTGAATTAAGCAATAACTTTCAATTATCCCCTTTATATTACTTGCTATATCTTGAGTTTTGTTATTTTGTATTACTCCTTTGGTTATTACTCTAGAACAGGGGTTGGGTTTTTAATTAAAAAAAAAAAAAACAATACAGTAGTGCCTTAACTAACATGGGGATACATTCTGAGAAATGCATCATTATTCAAGTTCGTTATTGTGTGACCATCAGAGAGTGCACTTACACCAACCTATATGGTTTCGGTCAGTCACTTGAAATGGCTTTGTGATGCAATCAAGAAAGGCAGAAATCCGGGATGTATGAGGCTACTGCCAGTGTAATACAACACGATGTTTTACAGCAATCTTTTATTTACAAGTGGAAGGAGTAAACTCTAAAATATGGTGAAAAAGAATAATATAATATGGTAAATACCTAACCCAATAGTCATTTATTATCATTACCAAGTATTATGTGCTATGTGTAATTGTATGTGCTATACTTTTATGCACCTGGCAGTGAAGCGGGTTTGTCTATACCAGTGTCACCACAAACAGTTGAGGAATGTATTAGTGTACATCAGCTATGATATCATTGGGCAATAGGACTTTTTTAGTTCCATTATAATCTTAGAGGATACTGTCATATGTGTTGTCTATTCTTGACTCAATTGTTACATGGTGCATGTCTGTAAGAATGCCACAGTGACTTTGTATAGCTGGCAAAGCCTGAGATACTATCTGGACCTCTACAGAGGAGGTGTTCTAACACCTCTCCTAGAGATTGAACCATGCATCCTATTGCAGGCTCATTTAAATTAGTACTTACCACTTCCTAAACAATGCAGAAATCTTAGAATAGTTTAGGTCCATTTATCCATTTCCCTTCCTACTTGTTGGGCTATTTTGTCATATATTTTACACATAGACACACATACACATGCACACACACACACACACACACACTCCAAGATCCGTGAGATATTCTTATTTTTGTTGCTTTAAACAATTGACATTCTACATGTTTACCCACCCTGTTTCGTATTTTTCTCATCTTCATTCCTTCTTCATTTTTATGCATCTGTCAAGGATCATTTTCCTTCAGACTGAAGGAGTTCTTTAAAATCCCTTTTACTGTGGGTCTTTTGGTAATCAGTTATTGTTTTCATTTGAGAGCAAACAGTTTTAATTTCTGAAGGATATATTTGTTGACTATAAAGGTTTGAGTTGGTGGTTTTCTTCCTCCCTCCCTCTATTCTCCATTCCTCTTCCCTTCCTCTCCTTCCCCCTCTCCCCCCACTCCCCTTTCAGCACATCAAAAGTGTCATTCCAGTTGTCTTCTGTTTTCTATAGTTTCTGTTGCAAGACTTGAGCCTGTCTCATCACTGTTCATTTAAAGGTAATCAGTGTTTTTGTTTTTTTTTTTCCCTAAGGCCTCTTTGAAGATAGCATTTTTGGTTTTTCAGCAGTTTTTCTTTGTATTTATCTTTCCTGGAGCTCAATGGACAGCAGCTCCATTCCATAGGCCGACACCTTTCCTCCATTTGGGAAAATTGTTGAACGTTACTTTTTAGTTACTTTATTGCCCCCTCCACCTGGTATCACTCACCTCTGATTCGTGAAAACACAGGATTTTGACTCTTCATGGAATATAATTTATTTTTAAGTAATAGTTATTTTCTTGCTATTCCAAGCTCTAGTAACAGTGTCTCTAAAGTTTCTTGTGTCCCATCAAGCTCTTTGAGTGGTCCAACTGAGACTGATTTGGGGAGCAGTTCCTAGGTGGAGGCATATTTTCCCCTTGGGATGAAATGCATAACAATTGCTATGTTCTTAACCATCTAATTCTTTCCTTAATCTCTTTGAATTTTTTTCATAAGTTACACGAACTATGAAGTGCAAGACATTAATTTTGGACCCTCTTTTTTCAAATTCTACATTTCAGCTTGGAATTTGTTACTTGAGATCTCTGAATAAACTAGGATTATATAGTAAAATATTAACATGCCATTTTCTAGCAAGTGGAAATTCTTTTAAAAAATTTGGTCCCTGGCTTTGTGGGTTCTACTATGTATTTCTTTTGCTACTTGGGTTTGGCACTCCTATTACAAGAATAGCTGCAGGGTTAGTCTGGAGACTCCACCTTCATGATGATGGCTCTTGCTCTCTGTTTTTTCCCTTCAGCAGAAGGATGCAGGACTCCCTCTGGAGAAACCACAGCTCTGTTACTGAATTCATTCTTCTGGGATTCTCCAGGGACACAAAGATAAATGCTATTCTATTTGGTGTCTTTCTCTTCCTCTACCTCATCACCCTCCTGGGCAATGGGCTCATTATCACTTTGATACGCATAGATTTCCGCCTCCACACACCCATGTACTTTTTCCTCAGTGTCTTATCCATTCTGGACATGGGCTATGTCACCACCACAGTGCCCCAGATGCTGGTGCATCTGGTTTGTGAGAAGAAGACCATCTCTTACATCGGATGTGTGGCCCAGATGTACATCTTCCTGATGCTGGGAATCACTGAGTCTTGGCTTTTTGCCATCATGGCTTATGACAGGTATGTGGCCATTTGCCACCCTCTCAGGTACAAAGTCATCATGAGCCCTTCACTGTGTGGGTCATTGGTGGCCTTCTGTGGATTCTGGGGTATCAGTTGTGCCCTGATATACACTGTCTCTGCTATGATTCTTCCCTATTGTGGCCCCAATGAGATCAACCACTTCTTCTGTGAAGTACCTGCTGTATTAAAGTTGGCCTGTGCAGACACCTCTATCAATGACCAGGTGGACTTCATCCTGGGATTCATTCTTCTTTTGGTTCCACTCTCCCTCATCATCATTGTCTACATCAACATCTTTGCTGCCATCCTGAAGATCCGCTCAACCCAAGGGCGGCTCAAGGCCTTCTCCACCTGTGCTTCTCACATCACTGTGGTCACCATGTTCTCTATCCCATGTATGGTCATGTATATGAGACCTGGATCTGAGTCCTCCCCAGAAGAGGATAAGAAACTGGCTCTATTCTACAATGTCATCTCTGCTTTCCTGAACCCCATCATCTATAGCCTCCGGAACAAAGATGTGAAGAGGGCTTTCCTCAAAGTGTTAGGCCATGACAAAGGGTCAGAATGATGTCCCAGAAGCATGAACACCAAGAACCAAGCCAAAGACAACAGCCTACATATCTTCTTCATCCAAATTCCTTCTAACATCCAGTGGGCACACATGATATATTAATGGAAAATATTAGGCAAAATTATGTTTGAGAAGGCTAGGACAGTGGGTGCCTCTCAAACATGAGCACACCAGACCATAGACTCCATAAAGGCAGGTCCCGTAGTGATCTCTCTTATCATCAGCTTAGACTATCAGGCACAGAATTAGCATCAACATGTGGGTGCTTTATTAATGAAATAAGTTCAAACTGCAGGGCATACGGTGCCTCCAAGACACCCAGATCAGTAGCCTGACTACAGGTCAATCAGAAGCATGATAACTCTTGAAGAAAGAACAATTTGAGATAAGTCAATGGCTATCACAGTAAATAGAGTAATACAGGTCATTATTATCTAGTACTATTAGGACAGTATGAACTTAAGGTACATATACCCTCATGCCATTAAAGAGAAGAGCTCTTTTTTGGGAAGTGATATTTGTAATCTAGGGTGAACGTATCCTCTTCCATAGACTTCATAATGTACTTTCAACTTCATTTAAGTACATTGACATAAAATGAATTATAGAATTTATAATTTATATACAATAAATCCAATATAATTTGTATCCAGTTATATAGTCTGATGAGTCCTGATGCATGTGTATACCTGTGAAACCATCACCACAATCAACATCAAGGTTCCTGACTCTTTGCAATCCCTATGTATTAATAACCTAAAGGCATGTACTTAATTGCCCCAAAGTTTGGTGGATAAAATTGCAAAAATTTATTGTTTTGCAGTTTCCAGGGATCAAGAATATCAATGAATCTGAGATGGGTTGCTGGATTAGGGAGTCTCACAAGGTTGTTATCAGTGTACAAGCCAGGGTTGCAGATTTTCCAAAGCTCATCTGGAGAAGAATCTGCTTTCAATTTCACAAGATGGTTGTTGCAAGGATTCAACGGGGCCTGTTTAATTATTGACTATTATGCAGAGGATCCATCAGTTCTTTGCCATGTGTGCCTCTCTATAGAGCTGTTCACCAACTGGCAGCTGGTTTCAGTGGAACGAACAAGCAAGAGAGAGGTTGTGAGCAGTGTGGAAGTCTGGCCAGTTGGAGTCTAATTTTGAAGGAGTTGTCCATCACTCATGGGCTATTTTTTCATGAGAAGTGAACTTCTAGGTCCAGTCCAAACTCAGTGGGAGAGTGCTGCAATCTGCATGGCCATTAATTCAGAAACCAGCAAGGGGCGACGGGGTGGGGTGGGGGTGGGTGGGGGGTGATTAGAAAAGAAATACTCAGAGAGAGAAAACTGACTGGGCACAATTCAGGAGCCACTTGTCAAAAGAAATGAACTTTATTTTTAGAATACACACACCAAACCACACAGCTCCTCAGGAAAAACCTTCAGAGCCCAACTGGCACCACCGGCTTCCCACAAGCCTCTCAACCTCCCCCACTCCTCCTGCTCTTGAGGCCAATTGGCTGGGTCCTGTGGGCGGAGCCAAAAAAAAGTCCCCCAATGAGCAGCTCCATGCTCTGAAAGGGCGGGGAAACAGCCCAATGAGCATCACCGCAGAGGAGCCAATCAGTTGGCAGCTAGAAGTTTGCTGGGGCTGCTGTGAGCCAATCATCAGCTGGCAGCTGGAAGTTTGCTGGGTCCCCTTTCGGCAGTGGCTCTCAACAAGGTGACATCATCCTCTGGTGGAAGAACAATGACCCAGAGCTAGCTCAGCATGTTTATCATATAGGTTTTATCATCAAAAGGGTTTTCTATGAAAGTTCCTTCAAAGAAGGCAAGCTGAAGATCAAAGCACTGGCAAACAATTATGATTATCTACTTATGCTCATAATTCTCTATCCCCAGCAGCTGGTGAATTTTATAATCAGCTTGTCTGCACCAACAAAAAGTCGTGCTGCAGTTTTGGTGGGCATTGCATGAAAAATATCCATTTAGAAAGAATTGAAAACTGGCTTTTATCTGAATCTTCTAGTTCACCAACAAGGTATGTCCTTTCACTTACTTAGTGAAAGGAAAGCGAAGAACTGGGAGACGGCAAGCGAGAAATGAAAGAAACCAGGCAGAGATACACACAGGAGTTTGTCAGAGCTGACAAATAAAGGCACATCTCTCCATAGATAGAGAAAGGCGTACTGACTTGGGTTGGAGACTTTTATAGGGGTGGCTCAGGGATTAGAGCCAGGAGGGTCCTAATGTGGGCGATTAAGGGTGGGGTTGGTACCCCTTGGGCAGGAAACAGTGCAGGTGGTGAAGGGTTGGTACGAGGGAGTGGTGAGCCTTTCTCAGAAAAGCCCTTGGGTAGGAAAAGAAAAACCTTTCCTTAAAATGGTGGCTGTCACTTAAGATGGCCACCCAGATGCTAAGCAAGGATCTTACACTTAAGTTTGATTCTTTTTCATCATGTTTGTTAAGTTTTACCTACATAGTTAAATGAGATAGTGTGGTTTTAATTTTGTTTTCTAATAGTTATTGCTGTTATATAGAAATAAGATTAATCTTTGGGTATTAGCTTTGCATCCTGTGACATTGGTAAACCTATTAATTAGTTCTAAGAGGTTTTTGTTTGTTTAGAACCCTTAGATATTTCTATATAGGCAATCATAACATCAGCAAATAGAGGCAGTTTGAATTCTTCTTTCCAATCTTTTATTTTCTGACTTCCAATACTGTTTTAAAGAGAAGTAGTGAGAGGAAGCAAGCACCCTTGACTTTTTCCTAATGGTAGGGGGAAAGTACCTAATCTTTTATCATTATGTATAATATAATATTAGCTGGATGTTTTTGTAGATGTTCTTTACCAAGATGAGGAGATTCCCTTCTAGTCTCAGTTTGCTAAGTTTGTTTTGTTTAAATCACGAATGAGTGTCAAATTTTGTCAAATGACTTTTCAGATTCAACTGATATGATCATAACAGTAAAGGAAGATTTTCTTCTTTAGACTATTAACATGATGAATGACTTTGATTTTCAAATATTGGCCCAGTCTTGCATTCCTAGAATAAAACACACTTGGCTATAGTATTTACTCTTTATATACTTATGGATTTGATTTGTGTCTTAGCTGAGGTCACCATACAATGATAAAATACCACAGATTGGGTTAAACAATAAGAATTTATTTTTCTCAGTTTCAAAAGCTGGGAAGTCCAAGATTGAGGTGCTGATAGATTTGTTTCTTGGTTAGAGCTCTCTTTCCGACTTGTAGACGGCTGCCCTTTTGTCATGTTCTCACATGGCCTTTCCTCTGGTGTGAATTCTGTTGTGAGGGCCCTGTCCTCTTGATTTCATCTACACCTATTAGTCACCAAAAGCCCCATCTCTAAATACATTTTGGATGACCAGGGCTTCAACATAGGAATGGGGAGCAGGGAATACAATTTTGTCCATAGGTTTAAAAGCTTTTCATCTATTTCATCTTTGGTGAGTACTTTGTGTTTTTTGAGTAATTTGTTTAATCCTTTAATATCATTTAAATGTCTATGGGTTTTGTAGTGATGTCCCCTATTTTTTCCTTATATTAGTAATTTGTGTCAGTTTGGCTGAAATTTTGTCAATTTTATGGTGCTTTCAAAGACCTGGTTTTTAGCTTATTGATTTTCTTTATTGCTTTTTCATATTTTTAGTTTAATTTTGTTTTTATCTTTATTATTTTCTTCCTTATGTTTATTTTTGGGTGTATTTTTTTTTTTTTTAGTTTTTTGATGGGAACTTATATTGCTTGAGGACTTTTCTTTTTTTCTAATATATATCATTATTACTATTAATCTCCTTTTCCAAAGAAGTGGTTAATTCTTTTTTTAAAATATTTTTTAGTTGCCAGTGGATATTTTACTTTATTTCTATGTGGTGCTAAGGATCGAACCCAGGGCCTCACCATGCCAGGCATGTGCTCTACCACTGAGCCACAACCCCAGTCCCAGAAGTGATTAATTCTTTAGCCATAAATTACAGACCTTTATATGTTGTACTTTCACCTTTTTTCCTGTGAAATATATTTTTCATTTCTCTTGAGATTTCCTCTTAGATCCATGGAATTTAAAAGTGTGGAATTTAATTTCTAATTATTTGGAGAATTTTCTATTATCTTTCTGTTATTGATTAGTAGTTTGGTTCTTTGTGGCCAGAGAACTTACCTTGTATGATTTTACTTATTTTAAAATTTACATTATTTTCCAGGATATGGTGTACCTTAGTAAATGTTAGACTTATTGTAGGAAAGAACTACATTTTTTATTAAATTGTTTATTTATTTTAATTTGTTATATATGATGGCAGAATGTAATTCATTTCCTATTACACATAAAGAGTACAATTTTTCAAGTCATTGATTGTACACGAAGTATTTTCATACCATTCATATCTTCATACATGTACTTAGGGTAATGATATCTAACTCATTCCACAGTCTTTCTTATCCCCATGCCTCCTCCCTTTCCCCTTCCTCCCCGCTCCCTCCCCTTTGCTCTATCTGAAGTTCCTCCATTCTTCCCATGCCCCCCCTCAGCCCACCATTGCCATTATGAATCAGCATCCTTACATTGGAGAAAACATTTGGCTTTTGGTTTTTTGAGATTGGCTTACTTCACTTAGCATGATATTCTCCAACACCATCCATTTACCTGCCAATGCCATGATTTTATTATCTTTTTATGCTGAGTAATATTCATTGTGTGTGTGTATGTGTGTATATATATATATATATATATATATATATATATATATACACCAAAGTTTCCCTATTCATTCATCTATTGAGCACATCTGGTTGGTTCTAGTATATGGTGTATCTTAGCAAATGTTAGACTTATGCTAGGAAAGAGCTACATTTAAAAAAATGTTTTTTTAGTTGTAGATGGATACAGTACCTCTATTTATTTATTTTTATGTGGCACTGAGGATTGAACCCAGTGCCTCACACGTGCTAGGCAAGCACTTCACTACTGAGCCACAA